AAACAAGTCTGCATGGATGGCATCACAAATTTTTGAAGAGGAGATACGGAAATGGGATGCAGAATTAAAGGGAAGGAAAATATTACTTCTCTTAGAATTGCCATTTCTTCCAGCCGAAACAACAAATGTATTACAGCCGATGGACCAGAGCGTAATAAAAAGTCTTAAGAGTCGATACAGGAAAAACATTTTAATGGAAGTGATATATCATCATACAGAACTTATTACCGAGACGAACAGATTTTAAAAGATGATCAGCCACTAGGCGTGTGGATAAAGCAGTTTCAAACAACAATTACAAGCGAGGAATTGCAAGATTTTATGGTGATAGATCAGGATTTGCCTACAACAGCAGACCTGACAGAGGAAGCCATATTACAACAAGCTATAAATAGTGAGGAAGAGCATCAAGAGGAAGAAGAAGATGAATAAGTTGATCTGGGACCATCAGCAACCATTCAACAAGCCTTATATTCAGTTAAGCTGCTAGGAAAAAAAAAGCAGTCCCTTCGATTTCGCTATATAGAATTTCGATGGTATTACGGAGGTATTTGACTGTGATCCTTCCAGTAAGTACGTAAAAGTTTTGTTTAAGACTATAGATTATATTCGCGGTAGATATAAGTACATCACAAGAATACAGATAAATATTTATTAAAATCTTACAATTAAACATTTTTTGAAGGTTCCTGTTTTTTAACACTTTAAAATGTGGAGGCCGTGGAATGAAGCAGATGGTCCCCAGAATTTGAAGACGAAGTGAAGTAGCAGCAGTAGTAGCAATAGAAGTAGTCGAACCTAATGACAATTTAGAAGGCGAACTACCGCAAAAAAAAACGAATCAATTTGTCTTCGGATGATACACATACTGTTATGAATGTTTACAATTTTATAAGAAATTCAGAAAGGGGCAGTGAGACCAGCAATAAAAACAAGTGACATGATCAAAGGTCCGAAGTCAACTGTCAGAAAAATTGTTGTAAATAGAATATTCAAGAGAAAAGTGAGAGACGATGCTGGTACTTCGCGAGTTTTTAAAGAGCAACACGCAAATGTCATTCGGCTTAGAATCTAAGATGCTTATAAAGTGAATAGTGTCCTAACGTTATTCATGAAAAACAAGTAATAAGAGAAGAAAATATTTATCGAGAACTATGTTACGACAGTAATGACGATACATTATAATTATTATTATAGTTAGTATTTTGTGCATTAATAATGATACTATGTAGAAATGTAATGAAATAGAAGCTAATACTTTGTAATAATTTGTTTATGTACATGTTTCAATAATTGCTCGACAAAAAAGAATGAAAACATACTTAGATCCCGCTTGTTATTGTAGGTAGATAAATTCCTAGGACGGTCCTGGAACGGTTACGGGTAAAGGCGTTCTATAAGGGGCTGCGGTTTTGGAGTAATAAACAGTACGCAAAGTTAATCCCGGGGTCGGTTGTAAGAGCACTATATTTCTGGTCGAAGTATAAAGCGTGTGCCAATGAGCAACTCCAATTTCAATACAGAACATGTTTCTTCGATAATAGATAAAGCATTAAAACATGATCCCGAACAAAATTGGAATAATTATGTTCAGCATGAAATTAATGGATTGGATGAACTAATTATTACCGTAAATTCTGGCGACAGACCCAAGAACGACATTGACGTTTCCGATCTCAACCGGCAATAAAAAATTCACTGATGGATAGTAAGTCCCAGTGTTCATCGTGTTGGCTTACGATGGAGCCTCCCCGATATAACTACAACGATGATTTTACTTATTGTTAATTTATTCTTCATAATTTTTAAGTCACCAAAAATCATCAAACTATGACCCTTGTATTTGATTTTCTCAAGCGGTAGTTCCAAACTGACATATCAAAAATATGACATTACAAAAAGTTATTCAAAAATGCCGCCTGAAACAAAAAAACAATTTTTTTTTCTATTAGTATGGTCCTATAACTGCAAAAATATGAAAAATATCAATTCAAAAACTCTTTGTGGACCTGTGTTAATGTACGAGAACGAAAGAATGACATTAATAGAGAAAACAAAAGGAAAATATGGGTTCTCGATTATTATCAGTCATGGCAAGTCTAATAATAATAATAATAAAAAGAAAAAGAAGAAGAATTTAATTTATTTATTTATTTAATCTTACTTGAATAACAAGATAGCTTTCGAAAAATTGTCACTGGGCCAGTAGATTTTTATTATAAAAGGAAAGGACACATCTCGTCGAACTTTAAAGTAACGGCAAACTTTGATAAATGTAATAATTATGATACTGATAGGTCTGATATTATTAAAATTTGTTGGATTTAGTATTTTAGGAAGAGGTATCGACAAAAGTCGACAAAAGTCGAACTAAACTGACTTTTACTTGATGAAAATCCATTTAACAAAATAAATAAGAGTTAAAATTCAGATTTTCACGAAATTATTTTGACTTTAATGGACAAATTTAGATCTCTAAGAAAAAAATGATGCAGTGCGGGAACTGATTTTGCAGGATAAGATTGAGGTATCTTTGGGCATTAGTAGGACCAGCATACATACAATTTTGCATGAACATTTGGCCACTAAAAAAATTTGTTCTCGTTGGATTCCACACGATTTGACATCAGCTCAAAAAAAGGCACGTGTTGATTGGTCGAAGGAGATGCTAAAAAAATACGATCGCGGTGCTTCCAAACACGTCTATGATATCATGGCAGTCGACTGTGTGCGTCTTTCACCTCGAAACAAACGGTAGCCTGTTTTTTCAGGAAAACTAGCCAAGTTGGCACTGTTTCTTTGGTGAAAGGTAAAACAGTCAATTGTGAATGGTAAACAACCATTTGTTTGTCGAAAGTCTTCGAAGAAATTAGAAAAAACAACCGCCGAAGACGAATCACTCTTCACTACGATAATGCTAGCTTTCACTGATCAGTGCAAACAAAGAACTTGTTGAGCATTAAAAACGTTGCATTGATGAGGCATCCGCCATATAGTCCTGATTTAGCACCTAATGGCTTCTTTTTATTCCCATACATTAAGAATAAATTACGTTGGCAATGAGTTTTGACACCAGATGATGCGTTTAAAAAGCACATTTTAGTGGTGCCCGACTCGATGCGGGAAAAGTGCTTCGATGATTGTTTTTATCGAATGCAAAAGTGTATTGATCATCAGAGTGAATATTTTGAGAAACAGTAAAGTCATATTTGTCGGTAGCTTCTAGTTTTTTATTACAAATCCCGAAATATAAAAGGTATGGTATGTCCATAGATATAAGAAAGTGACCAATTGCTTTTGAATGGAATGATCCAAGGGTGGTCATTAACATACAATGCAACAAGATTATTACCTAAACTTTCGGAATTTAAATTCAGGTAAAATTGTGGTCCCTAATAGAAGTATAGTGTATAGTGTATCTCAGGAGATGCCCCCGCCCATATGTAGAAAACAGTATTCTATTGAGACTAGGGAAGTTATAAACAATGTTTATTTGACTCTCAATGAACGTGGTGTCAGCAAGCAAGCATATTTAGAAGAAACGGCGAAATTGACAAAAATTCCAACATCAACTGTATGGAAAATTGTGAATAATCCCATTTCATCGAGGAAAAAAAAGAAGCGATACTGACATTTTCTCGAGTGTACATGAAAGTGATCAAGATATAATACGGCGTAAAATTTACCAGTTAAACGAGGAACAAAGCGTGCCTCAATTAGGAGGCTTGAAAAAGATGAAACCGGCATTGAATGTGGCAGAACTACCTTAATGGACAATGGAAAATGGACAAAAGGCAAGTTTAAATAGAATCTCTTATAATTCGAAATGGCGACTGGAATATCTAGAAAAAATTAGGATTTACAGAGAACAACAAAGGCCAATTATTTACTTGGATGAAATCTGATTCGACGCTTATGATACCTCGGAAAAGGGTTGGGTTGACTCAACTGATAAGTGGTTGGATTCCAAATGGACTTTCTCTGTCTGCGAAAAATATTAAAGATTCTTCTCTGGATTACCATGAAGACACCACCGCTGATTTATTTGAAATTTGGTTTAAAAAAAACTAATTTCAAACATTTCTCCTAATAGCGGCATTGTAATGGACAATGCAAGTTATCACAGTAGACAGTTGACTAAAACTTCTTCCCCATGTGACACAAAAGGAACAATCCAAAACTACATGTATAATAACGACATTTATTTTCACGAAGATTATACCAAAAAGCAATTAATTGAGGTTCTACAAAGCTTGAACCTACAAAAGGAATACGTCTGTGATAATTATGCTAAAAATCTAGGGCATACAGTTTTAAGGCTTCCACCTTACCACTGTATATTTAATCCCATTGAAGTTTGGCACCAACTGAAATCTGCCATTCGTCGTAACAATGTTTTTCCCCGTGTTAACTCCAATGTCCTCAAACTTAGAGAAACCGAAGTTTTTAACATCCCTCCACAAAGTTGGGCCAATTCTGTTAAACATTTAGAAAAAGCAGAACAATCGTATATCGCATATTGCAAATAATATAGAACAGGTGATGATAGCGACAGTGATACTGATATATTATGTGAATAATTTTAAGTAATTTAAGTACATACATAAATAAATAAATATTGTTTAGTATCTTTCCTAACAAAACCCCAAATAATTAAATTCTAAGCAAAGTACGGACCTGTTCGGCCATATTTCATTCTTACAGCTGGCCCGGGTTTTTCCTTAATTCCTATCAGTTAGTCACGTTCTTATATCTATGAACAGACTTTAACTTTTAGAGTGATAATATGAGTCATAAATGGCAATAATCTACCATCCAACGTGACAGATACGGACTTAAGACATTTCGAAAATTACATTTCTATATTAACCGTGACCCATGCGGAGCTGTAATATTTCGAGACACACGACGTAGATTGACACAGGCTATACATAAAAATTAGATAAGATTTGGACACTTTTTTTTCCGATGGCAACGAAAAACAAACAACTCGCGCTTACCGTCGGCATCAGCTGGTCGGTGCTCCTAACCCTAGTAACTTTGTTCTTGTAGACCAGCTTCTTGACGAAATGTTCCATCGGTTGGTTCCACTTCATAAAACTAACGTACGCAATGTAAAACGAAAACAACACCAGCGCCTCGTACCACTGGATCTTGTTATCCTCGAAGAAGATGATGAGTGCGATTAGGCTGGCCGAATAAAAGAAACAGTCCCTGAAAAGAGGCCACCAGGTGAGCGTCAGCACCGTCTTGGAGAAGATCGCGCACATCCCGATCACGAAGAGGATGTTAAAGACCGCGGAACCGACGATGGTGCCGATACCGACGTCGTCGAACGAGACGAACACGCCGATGATGCTGGTGAAGAGTTCGGGGGCAGAGCCGCCAGCCGCCATGAAGGTCGCGCCGGCTACGTCGTCCTGGATATCGAGCTTCTCGATGATGACGTCCAAGGCCGGGACGAAAAACTCGTCGCAGACGATGGCCAACGCGACGAACATGTAAATCACGCCGAGGACGTGGAGGATGATCGCGCCCTGACGAAGCTGCTCGTCGGTGAAGAGGTCTTTCGGGAACAGGGGGTCCCCTTTTCGATGATTGATCGTCGTGTTGTTGTAACCCGCGAGGTAATCGAGAGTGGTCGACAGAAATACGGGCATGACGGTGACGGTATCGTTGAACGAGGCGTCCTCGTCGTCGTCGGTGGCCTGGGGTGCCAGCGGCAGAGCCAGCAACACGCAGAGAACCACGGTGGCGCGGAGGGTCATAGCGAGAACAGATGATGGGTCATTGTCACAGCGATGCCGGGCGCGGACTGGTGATGGTGGTGGTGGACGAAAGTCCGCTCGATAAGAAGCTGGTCGCGCAGGCTGCGCCAGTGCACCACCGGATGCGCGCGCCGCTCCGGGAAGGAGCCCGGAGCGCCTTATTTCCGGAGCCCGCCTATGAAGGAGCGGACGCCGTGGGGGATTTTGTAGTTTAACTATCGGGCAAGGTAAGTTGTGAGGGATCCCCGATGATGACGCGTGAACAGATTGGGTTCACCTCAAAAAGATAGAGGGGAAAGTCTATTATTTGTGTCCAATAGGGTGCTTCGAAACAAATTTTTCATTTTATTTTTAGCTCTTACCCTCTCAAACGTTTACTTTTGATATAAAAAAAATCCACACCAAAAATTAGCCCTGTAGCTCAACTCTAAACGCTAATTAACATGGGACCAATTCTTTTTTCACAAAAATTAATTTTACTTATAATGTTCGCGAATTTTTACAAAAAACCAATTTATATTGTTAAAATTGAGTCTTTAAGCTTTCCGAAACCGTATAACAAAGTATGATTATCATTAAAAAATACTATTTTTTTTACTAAGTTATTAATTAATAGTCAGTGTTTCATTTCTATGGATTTCAAATTTTAGAATGGTTGTCAGTACGTAGTGTAGGTGGCAGCACTAATTATATTAGATCATACGGTACAGTTGTCAAATTATCAGTGTCTGCAACACATATATTAAGAAATTATTCTGTATTGTTATTCTTTAAAGCTCTCAGTAATTTCAATTATTATCAGTAAAATGGCTGAAAAGAAAATTTATATGGTTGGTTTTTGATGTAGAAAATTAAGTAAACGAAAATTACCGAGTATAAGAAAAGTTTTACAATTATTTTTCTACAAGCATACAGATTCTAACCTCACAATTCATTAGTGTCTCTGTCGAAACTTCTAAGTTTGCAGAAGTTAAAAAAATACTATGCCTATTGGACGTTTTCCATTCTTTATTTAAATATATAGACTGACTTCTGTTAAAGAATGTGCTGAGTTATGATTACATATATCAAACAAATTCTCAAGGAGATTTTTAAATGTACGCTGCGTAATTTTTTGTTTCTGAATGTTCTTTTTTTATTTTTTTCAAAAGTTCCCACTCTCGGATCAATCACCAACATCCACGAATCACTTCATCAAAACACTGTCGAATAGGTTAAAATCTGTATGCTTATACTCGGTAATTTTCGTTTACTTAATTTTCTACATGAAAAACCCACCAAATAAATTTTCTTTTCAGCCATTTTACTGATAATAATTGAAATTACTGAGAGCTTTAAAGAATAACAATGCAGAACAATTTCTTAATATATGTGTTGCAGACAATGATAATTTGACAACTGTACCGTATGATCTAATATAATTAGTGCTGCCACCTACACTACGTACTGACAACCATTTTAAAATTTGAAATCTATAGAAATAAAACACTGACTATTAATTAGGATACAAATTTTGAGAAATTATGTAGATACAAAAATATTAGAAGCTATTTCTGAAAAATTCAAAAAAAATTTTTAAATGGCTGTAATTAATCGTCTTTTAATGATAATCATACTTTGTTATACGTCTTTGGAAAGCTTAAGACTCAACTTTGACAAAATAAATTGTTTTTTGTAAAAAATCACGAACATTATACGTAAATTTAATTTTAGTGAAAAAAGAATTTTTCCCATGTTAATTAAATGGGAAACTAAAATACAAATTGCGACCCCTTAGAGTTGAGCTACGTTGCTCATCTTTGGTGAGGAATTTTTTTATATCAAAAAGAAACATTTTAAAAGGTAAGAGCTAAAAAAAATAGAAAATTGTATTTGAAGCCCCTAACTCTCCATCCTTCCTGTTAAAGATCATTACTTGAAGAGCTCGGGACAGAGCGAAAAATAACCGTTTATTGTCCAAAGCTTTGCAAATATGGCCGAATTGCTTGATTTAGCGCGGTTTCTGTCGACCGTTGTATAGTTACAAAATAAAAGTATTTCAGAAATTTGTCACTAGAGGGCACTTTGCCGCGGACGTTTTTTTTATTTTCCCTGTATTTTACTTATTTAAACTGATATTGCATAATAGAATAGATCGCCTTAAGCAGAATCACAAATCCTCAAAAATTGTTACTCTTATTTTGAGTCGATGAGTGGTATTGTTTAGCCGACAATCGCCTTTTTTTCTCTGCCCAAATACCCCTCACTTCTAATTCACCAAAAGGTACTACTGAGTATAGCTATATGCATTTCTGTTACGGAAAAGCAAGTGAAAATGCGGGACACCATTATCAACCTGCAAATTACAAATTAAAAAAGTGAAAATACTGCATAAGTCAATACAATAACATGTTTAAGTAATATGTTACACGAAAAAATACGTTTAGAATACTTGTCATGATTTCGCAACCGTTTATCATTTTTTGTCGGAGATCATTGATATCTGTTACAGGTGTTTCATACACTAAAGACTTTAAGTGCCCTCAAAAACAGAAGTCCATGGGATTTAGGTCTGGTAAGCGAGGTGGCCAAGCTCGAGGTCCACCCCGACCTATCCATCGATGTTCAAATGTCAATATAAAATGGGGTAGAGCGCCATCTAGTCTCCACTGCAAGGGTAACTCTTCCAGCAAAGGTGGTGGTTCTTCTTGGGGAAATTGCTAATACACTTCCGCTGATGTTTTACTTCAATGTGTGCGTGTGGGTTTCCAATGTTCCACTGATACATATTTCGAAAATTTTCAATGCCATCATGACGGAATGCAGCCTCGTCATTGAACAAAATGACATTTAAGAATTGCGGGTAATTTTGAATTTTTCCTAAAATTTGATTGCATAAAATTCCTCTCAATTGCTCATCACTAGATTTATGTAAAAAAACATATTTTTTATTATTAGGAATATCAACCCAATATTTTGGCTATACCCGTTTTAGGATGAAATAATTAGATTAACGATTTAAAAAAAATACATATTTCGCATAAAATAAAAGTTTTAGTATATATTTTTAGTTGTTGTACATAAAAAAAATATTTTTTATTTTTCCAGCATAAAGTCGAATATTTTTGACCCATTCATTAATGGGATTTTCTAGCACGTCACCACTGGAAAACATAAATGTGGAAGGGAGAGAATAAAGAAGAATAAAATTTCGCTTGTAACGCTTGTAACGGATAACAGCACTTTATTTATCAGTTTCTTATTCTTATTCTCTTATTCCGGTTCCGAAATTTTTTCAAATATGTACAGGGTGTGTCGTTGTGGTAAAAAAAAATCTAAAAGACCCTGAAAATTGCCATTTTCGTGAAAAACTATAAAACATGGAATAATTTGGTTTAAACAGTCTCGAATATTGTGTCGAGAGAAAGAGAGAGAGAGTTTCAAGTTTCGTCTATCATACAGGGTGCGTGAGATACTTGGAATAATATCATTGGAAATCATTATTACTTGTACAATTTTTTGTATTTATCAAAGTTTGTTGTGACTTTGAACTTCGCCGATAAGTAAAAAACGCTTTATACAGGGTGCATGCATAATAAAATTACATCAATTTTGCGAAAGTTAAATAGTGGCCCGCAGGAGCACGATAGAAAAACTATGGGTCCCTTTTTTTGACAAGAAACCGCGAAGCGTCTTCTTTTCGATATATAAAATGGCTACGAGCTACGCGCTACGAACTTGCCCCGCCCACCGACGATTTTTCGAAAGCAATTTATAAAAAAAATATCTGACCACCCTGTAAGTACAATCGACTAAAATAATGAACATTTTTCGTGTTCGTCGTAGTTTTCATGTAAAAACTAACCAAAAAAAAATTTTTCCCGTGAAACCCATTTTTCAATGTTCCAATTATTAGACACTCTCCTAATCATCAAAATTCTGTTCTGCAGGGTTTTGTTCTAAAAGGGATTCTAATTCCACAAAAGATCACAATGTCAAAAAGTAGTAACCATTTCCATTAAAAATGCTAAATATAAAAAGAGTTTTCTTGCCGTGAACAACTGAATTTGATCGAGCCATTAATAAAATAAAATTTTCGATAGATTCGTAGTAAGCCTTGGAGGATCAAAGTCTAACCTAATATAATGAAAAGTTTAAACGAAAAAATATTAAAATTGGAAATCAAATTCGGTGCAATTTCTGATCTGTTTTTCAAAAGCTTTTATGGAAATCAGCGTTTCCAGTATCCCAAAAACTTCAATTTTCTCACAGCCTGGTTGCTGAAATGATGTCGGTCAAAAATCACGCTTAAAGTGCCGCGCTTTGCCTGAAAATCGACTTCGCATTTTCTCTTTAACCCGCTGTTTCGCGGAAAATGGGTGAAAATTGGCGCGTGCGCATCTCAGTGGCGACAACAGAATGCCTTTGCTGCCACACGTACCCCACCAATGGAGAGAGAATCCATCAAACTGCAGTAACGCTTCCACCTCAGTTGGAGTTACACGGTTTTAACACAAAAATGAAACTTCTAAACCGACTTTAAGTCGACAATAATAACATGTTTAATTTACCCGAACTCTAAAGTTGTGATTACGAAATTATTTTTCTATTTCATCTAAACCGCACCTGTCTGTACGTACAGTTTAAACAACTTTGCGTATTGGGAAGTGATATTGCACGGCCTTCTAGAGGGAAATAATTAGTACCTTACCATTTATCGTACCTGCAAAAAAATCTTAATTAAACTATATTTATCTATTTACGCGTTGAACAAAAAACTCTGGAGTATCATTAAACAAATACGGGTTAACACAATTTTAAATTTTAACTGTTGTGGTGGTACCTCGACGAGTGAGATATAAGCGATTCACCATGGCCCTCTTCGTTTGTTGTTTCGATACGAAGGGTTTGTCTGATTTTTTCGATACAATGTATCAGGACTGCACTGATCCAAACTGTAAGTAGATAGATTTCCACTCCACATATCTCGAGAAAACTCTTCAAAACATATACGATACATCGGTAGATAGATATGCAACCAAACATGCCAGTTTTGCTTTGTATAATTTTTTTAATATATCCTATTAAAAAGTCTCGCTGTATCTACTACACAGTGACGCTGTAAACTTGCTTATTTAAAACGGAACACCCTATACATCATTTCATATTTTGGATTCTTTGAAAATTCCACATTTTTAATATCCAGTATTTTCTTCCAAAAATGACGTTTGCACAGCGAAGAATTTTATTTAATGTCATTTTAACCAATGGCTAAATACGGAAAATTAATAGTGAACTGGCGCTGCCTCTAAATATTAATGCGCTATTCGTATAACAAATAACCATGTTTTAAAATAAAAATGTAGGTTAAAAGCAAACCCTTTTTTGCTCAAAGATTTTTAGTCTTTGTAGTACTACTACTACCATGACATTCATATACACAAATTAAAAATAAATTTCAATTCAATTAGATCACATTATTGTGTTAAAACATGGAATAATTGTTATGATAATGATATAATTGTTGTCTGTGACCCGTTCTTGGCGATCGTCAATTGTCTCTGTCTGACGAATCTAACCTACAAATGGCCTGTCAGATTCGATGGGTCGTTTTTAATTTGTTTTATTTACAACGTTTATTTATTAAACTTTAGATATTAACAGTTCATCGAAGTATTATGTGTAACGGTAATAGTACGCATTTTTTAAATTATTTTTCGCTATTTTACTATGAACGCTATTGAACTTTTAGGCTGTTGTGGTTGGTGTAGTGCTTTCAGACCTAGATACAAGAGACTTGTCGATAATATCTTCCCTGCGTATCCCCAAGATGGCTTGGTTAAGAGTAACATGGAAAAACTCACCTTCTATTCGCTTAGTTCACCTGAAAAATTGGATAGGATCGGAGAGTATTTATACCAAAGGGCAGCTAGAGATATTTATCGAAAGAAATATGGGCAAGTCAATCAATATATTAATGTATTATTGTCTTATCTAATGGAAATAATTTAAAGGTTTGTTATTATTGCAATGGAAGCCATGGATCAGCTTCTGTTGGCCTGTCATGCTCCAACACTTAACCTTTTCGTAGAAAGTTTTCTGAAGATGGTGCAAAAATTGCTAGAATCTGCAGAACCTGAACTACAAATTCTAGCAACACAATCTGTATGTATTACCCAAATTGGATTAAAAAAACCTCTACTAACCTCTATTACCTGTTAGTTTGTGAAATTTGCAAATATTGAAGAGGATACACCGTCTTATCATAGAAGGTATGATTTCTTTGTCAGTAAGTTTGCCGCCATGTGTCACAGCGGAGACATTAAAGAGATAAGAGATAAAATTAGAACTGCCGGTATTAAAGGGATTCAAGCCGTTGTGAGAAAAACCGTTTCAGATGATTTAGTTGAGAATATTTGGGAGCCAGTACACATGGACAAAATTGTACCTAGCTTGTTATTTAATATGCAGGTAATAAAAAACATTTATGAAATAAATATAGGAGCAGTTTGGGTTATTTTTAAGCTTTTTTCTTTTAGGACTCCAGTTTTCATAAGGAATTGCATAATGGAGACACTGTACCTGAAGACAATGTCGATCCTCCCATGCTCGCAGAAACCTGTATGAGGGAATTGGTGGGAAGAGCTTCCTTTGGGCACATTAGGGCTGTGTTGAGGCCGGTTTTGAGGTAATTAATTTTAAATTAATTAAATAAATATCATAAAAAAAAATTATTAGAAATTTCTGTTTTTGCATTCTATTCTGACTTTAACCAGGTTTTTTCAAACCGAATGTTCTTCATATTTTCTCTTTTTTATTGGAAATCAAATTAGTTAAAATGATATTTAATTTATTTTTGATATTTTGTGTCTTGTAAAAAATAAATGGGATAATAAAATAACAAAATGCTTAATTCAAAAGGTGTGGGGCATAATGTATATGTTTTTAATATGTAGTTTTTTATTGGAATTTTAATTGATTATTCAATCATTAACATTATTTAGTTTAAATTTTTGATCAAGTGAAAACATCAATTTTAAACAATAATAATATTCCACATATGCCACAGCTGTCATAACTAAACAAAAGCTGATGCATGGCCAGATAAGTGAGATTTTATTTTTGTAATGTTATTGTAAAACATAATTATAAAATATGTATAGTTGAAAGCAGCGCAAAAAGGCTGTTCTTTTTATGAAATTAATCAGGGCTTCCATTACAAGTTTGATATATTATACTTTTTTGGCACAACTTGTATACCGGGTGTAACAATAAAGTGAGAACACTCTATAACTTTTAAAGATGGCGATTTCAAATTTGGAAGGGTTAATATAGGTTGAATATCCAATTTTCTGATAATAACTTATTATAAAATTATGATGTCGATTATGTATATCAGAAACATATCAAATTTTTCTCTATTTGTAATTTGAGTATTTTTTTCCATGATAATCCAAATCGATAACACAATAAAATTGATAATCAGATAAAAAAGTACAAACTGTCAGAATGTTCAATCACGCCGACTTGATGATGAATAGAAGCAAAGCCACCTAAGTAATATTTTGATTTTATAAAAATGTATTTACCTATCTGGTATCTTCGGGCCTGTGAGCTAATTTTTTAACGGATTTTGAAAATTTTCGTGTCAAAATGTTGCAAAAAAAGTACCGCTTTTACATTAAATGCTATTTGCCATCAGACAAGTAAAGAAAAGTTTCATTTACAATTTTTCCCATGATCAGGTGACCCGGTAAATAGTATTTATGATGGTCACAGTCTGTTAGACACAATTTTCAAAAAATAAATAAAAATTAAATAAAAAAACAAAAAAAAGCGAAAAAAGGTAAAATGATCTCCTGAATCCAAAAATGTAAAAAATGTAGGTTGTGCTATTTCAAATTTGAAAGTTACCGTCGTTTCCGCTCAAACCGGAAGTGCCACCATTAACTGACTGACAGTTTATACATTTTTATCTGATTATCGATTTCGATATAATGGACCTCCTTGTACTTAGACGTGACGTTACAGGCATTTCGATCTTCACAAGTTATGGGTTCCGAATGAATTTGCGATTCACACCTTTAGAATAATAATGTTTTCTATTCAAGTAAGTTTATTCAAAGGTCAATACTTTAGTTTAAAATTGGTGAATACTCTAGGCACAATATTCTTATACTGTGGTAGAAACTTTAATGGCTCATTTAGACGAAAACGCGAAATCGAGTCCGACCATTCGTACCAGCATAGCGGAAGTTTTATCAAAAATCATAGCCATAGCTGCGGGCGAGAGTGTCGGTATGGTATTTTTGTTCGTATTATCCGTGTCACTTTCTGATTTTTTTCCTTACTTAGGCCCATCTGTCCTCGAAATCATAAATTCTTTGCTTAGTCATCTGAGGGATTCGGTAAAAAATGAAACTAGCCAATCTGAAGAGAAACAGTACCAGGAGGCTCTAATTAATGCCTTAGGAGAGTTCGCGAATCATCTGCCCGATTATCAGAAGATCGAAATTATGATGTTTATTATGAGTAAAATCCCTTTCCCGCTGGTTGACAATCAGACCCCCGCTGACAATATGTTGCAAAGTATCTTACTCAAGAGTTTATTAAAGGTACTCTGTTTAATGACAAAAGGCATCTTCGAAAAAAGAACAATTCAATTTCGTTTCAGGTGGGCACCAAGTATCAAACGATTCATTTAAATACTACATTCCCGGTATCATTTTTGGAGCCCCTGTTGAGAATGTCCCTCGCTCCCGATCCGGAAATGAGGCTCCTGGTGCAGAAAATATTGCACACGCTCATGGATCGACACCGCAATATGGATAAACTCTCAAAACCGACGTAACTCGCGTTCGATCACTTACGATGCCAAAAGTAGCTATTGTTTTTTTTTTTGTAACAGGGTAAACGTGCTAGATTTGGATCTAGTTTTGGAAAAGTCGTCCAGAGCGGATCTGATATTCATTAATAAGCACGGACCGATCATATACGACGCTCTCTACACTAGCCTGCAAATGGATACCAATAGCCCCGAAAATATCGAGGCCGTTTATACGACCCTAGCGCTGCTCTGCGTAGAACTAGCCAGCACCGAAACGGTTATCGATTTGTTGCAGCTCTTGCTCGGGTAATGCAATGATACAAACAAAAAAAAAGATGCAAGTCTGCAAAGTTTCCAATGTGTGATGTTTTAGTATCCAAAATCTAGCTCTGACCAGTACGACATTGTCCAATGCCCATAAATTCAATTTGCACGCTCTGATCATCAGTTTACTGGTACTCATTCCCGACGTGGTCGGCATACAATTGCTGAGCGACTACGCTAGCAAACTAGTCGAGGCTCGGAAAGAAGAAGCCCCGTATCTATTGCCGGATTTGATGTCTCATTACTCGCCCAACTGCGAGGCAGCGAACGCGTTGCCACATTTATTGGTAGACAAAGTAAGTTTATTATTATTATTATCATTATCATTATAATTATCATCATCATCGTTTTCATTATTAATATGATTATAAGTATCATCGTTACTATTATCAGTATTATCATTATTACTATTATTATCATCATAATTATCATTGTTGTCATCATCATTATCATATTATTATTATTATTATTATTATTATTATTATTATTATTATTATTATTATTGTCATCATTATAATTATCATCATCATCGTTGTCATACCAGTATTATCATTATTACTATTATTATCATCATAATTATCATTGTTGTCATGATTGTTATTATCATCATTATTAGTTTTTCAAAGAAACTTCCACAGGCTACTGTAATGCTTTTTACAAAACTTTTGGATTCCTCCTGCGTCCGTTTTTGCTTAGTCGAAATTGCTGACGTTTCGCCAATCATCCTGTTGGCTTCTTCAGACCTTGACTGAAACAGTTTCAGGATGATTGGCGAAATGTCAGCAATTTCGACTAAGCAAAAACCGACGCAGGAGGAATCCCGAAGTTTTGTAAAAAGCATCATCGTTATTATCATCATCATCGTGAGCTCAAAGAAACCCAGAAAACGTGTTTGTATAAGGGGCAGAAGTAATAACACTCAAAGAAAGATGTTTTAGAATTTGGAGGGAAAACAGATGTCAAAACTAAGGGCAAATCCATGCTTTCCAAAAATACAAAGCCGCCGATAAAAGTGACTCAGAAGAAAACAATCTTGAATCTTGGAAAAGCAATCAAAGTAAGAATAGAACAACAGAATTTCAGAGCCTGAGGACCCTGAAGTTGACCAAACCACATCACCATTTATTGAAGAGAATTTTTTTACAACTCGGGAAACCGATTTTAATCAAATCCAAAAAGGAGACTTTTTATTAGCTAACTTTTGTGAAAAAAAAAATGTGTCCAATAACAGAGGTTTCTGGTGATGAAGCTGAAGTAACATGTTTATGAGAATTCAGACTCGAAGAAAAAGACAATTTTATTGTCCGATATTATTCAAAAACTAGAACAACCCAAACTTACACCATCCGGCGATAATCAAAAGTATATTTTCCCAAGTGCTGTAGACGTATCTGAACAGTAGAAAGAGTAGAAAGAATTTTTCATAACTAAAGCTACTCCAGTAGCTACAGTTTACTAAAAATTTATTAAGTTACTTACCCATGTTTTGTTACACTTTCATGTTGATTTTTCCAAGGTTCTCTTAAGGTGGTGCGTTTTCAAACATTTTTCTGTTAATTTCTTGAGTTTCAATGTTTTCTAATAAAATTTAAAAAATTTATAGCTCCTGTATTTTTTTATTTTTTTTGGTCAATTTTGTGTTAATTTTATTTGAAAGTAAACATTTCGTTGAGATGATTGCTCTTGCCTCGTTTATAGTTCGGCATTTTTACGCTAAAATATTGAAGGAAACGCACTCACGATTTCGGGGCACTTGGCACCAAAAAAAAAAAAAAATTGTGTTTAGAAATTGCTTCACTTTTTGAAATTTTTATTGTCATTGGTCTATAGCGGGTTTACTTTCATCAGCAGACAATAATATCAAGCACTAAATGAATTTACAAATTCGCCTATTCATTTTTATTACCTTACGAGTTTTATAGTTCAATAATTTGTTTTTCTTTCTTTTAGTTAGCGGTATGCGAATTTTTAAAGGACGCCGGAATCGATCCGTCGCGATTATCGCAGACTTCCCCTTACGGTGCGGGCGGACCCGGACTGGTGGGCGGTTCCCAAAGGCACAGCTGGATGGATACGAGCGCGCGTGGCAGTATCATGGAAATACCGTCCGCCCACGAGGTCGACAGCGCTGCCAGTTCGCCCGGAGTTCAAAGAGTGAGCGAGCGGGAGAGGTCTCTCGCAGAGGTTATCGATCTGATTATTGGTATTGCAGAAAATGCCGGAGGAAGATTTGACGTTCGAAAGTATGAAGAAAGTACTGACCGAACCGCCGGAAATTAAGAAAGAAGCGGAAGCGGAGAGGCGAAAACAAATCAGCCACACCTTCAGGACGGCCACTTTCTCGGAACTGGTCCGCAGGACTCAACCCAAGGTACATTGACTGGCGCCTTTATCCTTTCAAAAACGATATTTTCGGTTGTACTACTTATTAATTGATAGTTATAGTTTTTTCGGTCCAATAACAATAGTAATATACTTACGAGCTGAGTGTTCGAAAAGTAATTGGGCGGGCTACGTACGGGGCGGCCTTTATCTCGAAACCTACGAGGGGCACAGAAAAAATTTCAGTTATTAAATTGTTTTTTTTTTAAATCGTCACTTTTTTATATACAGGTTGGTAACACAAAATTAGATTTGTTGAAATTAAGCGCCCTACATTTTATTTCATTTTTGGGTGGTCCCTTCAAAGACAAATTCGACGATATATATAAGTGCGGGTCTGTGATGCACCGTGATGGGTTGCTTATTAAATTTTTAAAGTTTTTTTTACTCCCGTCTGTAAAATGACTAGTTACACGCCGACCTAGCGTGCGGGAAGCGTCACTTCGGACATTTCCGGGAGCAATCGGATGTTTGCGTAGATTTTACCTCACGGTTTGAATTTTCGCGTTTGTCAATTCTGACGGTCATGTCAGTGAATGTATTCGTGTTGTTTTGCGAAAATCTACCCAAAAACTAATACACAGAAAAATGTTATGCAATATATCAGACAATTTAAATACTAGTGGACTGGTCGGTAAGTAAAGTGACATTTATAGTTTAAGTTTCGCTCAGAAATTTTACATACAGTTTTTATATTATTGTATTGTGCGATTTTCAAATATCCATGTCTCATCAGTACAAACAAAACAAAATTGAAGGTTATGACCTGCTTTTTCTTGCTTATACGATTTTAAAAATGTAATCCTCTTAAAAGCTGTATCTTTGGGTAATTTTTCTTCCAATTATAATCTTTTTCTTTAAATAAGCTACTTAATAATCAATTGCAAAAGTTAAGTAGACAATATAAAAATTTTTAAAATTGTTGGGTTTGGGTAATTTTTCTTCCAATTACAATCTTTTTCTTTAAATAAGCTACTTAATAATCAATTGTAAATAAACAACATAAACTTTTAAAATACCTTCACTAAAACGAAAATAATAGCCTATAAAAATGAACAAAATATAAGCACCCACGAAACGTAAACAACCTACATGTTTGACTAATAAATTTTACTTAATGTTAATAAGTTCAGAACAATAAAATGAAAAATATTATTACGAACATCAAACTTTAATACCATATAATTATTATACAGGGTTTTCACAAAAACCTTTATATTTACAAACAGTTTTTAATTAAATCATGAAAAAAGTTTAATAAGGCTACACAAAATGTGGAAACATTCTGAAATCATTATTTTTAATTAAATAAAAAAAATAATACAGGGCGGCCTAAAAGTAGCAATTTAACAAAAAAAAAGTTATTTATTTAATATAGATTATGACAAAATATTGTTATCTTTCCTTGAAAGAAACGAAATAAAACAGTAACAGAGTTTTTATACATCTAAAGTACCATTAAGTTAAGCACTTTGCTTTGTTTTTGTTACAATTTTTGCATTAGTCATAGCTCTAAAAAGTAAAACCATTTCTTTGAAATAAGAGCGTTCATGTTACTTAACATAGCATCAACAGCATCCCTAAATTATGCTAAAATTGTAAAATATTGCTTAATAAATTACAAACTTTTTGGCAATTTTTTTAATATGACTCAAGACAATGTAGAATTTTTTAAGGATTATTGCTTTTTACAGTAATTTACTTAACATAAAATTAGTCTCAAAACTTTTCGAATTTTGTCAAAAACTAATTTGTTTTGTTTTCACACGGAAAATTGTATAAATAAAACATTCAGAAAATGACACTGACAACGAACGTCACAAAATTATTGTTGACGTTGCCATGGTAACAACACGAAGGAAAACGTTCATTGTACGAAATGTATTATTGGGTTCATTTCAATAGTTTGGAATCTCCCTGAGACGGACTCTACGTATTTGCTACTCACACTTTTATTTCAATGACGGCAGCAGCAACACCACTGATAATTTGATATTATACGAAAAATTGTTCCAGACCTGAGGATGGCCACTTATAGCCGAAACGTATCTCGTTTTTAATAAAAATGTATATATGTATAATGTTTATGTGACTGAGAAAACCATTTAATTCCTATATCTTTGTAACTCCTAAAGTTAATAATTTTATTTTTCAGCATGACGTGTTACAGAATAAGCTAAACGAAATATTCAAATCTCTCAGCCTTTCAAAAATCGAGAGTCCAACAGAGGAGCCGAAAAAGAACGAGACGCCAACTTATGAACAGAATTTTCCAGAATTATTTTACTATTAATAACTCAATCATCCGCTTAAAGTAGCAAAGTTTCACTTTAAATCGGTATAGGATTAGAAAATAAAGTTTAAATCTGCCCTAAACATTCAAAAACCAACCGGTTCTAGTTTTAAAGGCTTAACTAATTTTTTTTTAATTGATTATTGTATTAAATCATACTGAATAATACTTACGGGAAAGAACATCTGGTCATAAATACAAAATTAGGTATAAAGAATAATATTGAACTTTCAAAATGAACAATTTGGTGACTTTTGATTCAAACGCCAATTTGTTATTTTTTGTCTTTCTGGAGTTAGTTCACGCATTATTTTTTAAGTTATTTTTGGTAATTCCACTTGTTTACCCTTTACAAATTTATTTTGTAAATGGTTAGTTATCCACGATAATGTCCAAGTTGCTGATAATAAAGTGCCCAAGATGATGGGCAGGGTTTGTATTCTAAGCAATATTAATTATGCTTGAAGGTCCTAAAAAAATAACTTTCCTAAAATCAAAATGTTGAAGATTTAGAAGTCTAGACGATTTCACCTTTTATTAATATGTTAAAATAAAAACGACGCGACATATAGTTGTTTTATTCCTTCCTCTCCATGAAAACAATAGACTTTTACTCGGATTAAAGTTTTTTTTTTGTTTTGGTCACTTTGGAAATCATTAGACGAACTATTTTTTTTTCCTTTTAACAAAAACTTGCGTTCAATAATGCTCAATCTCGGAGGTACTGTGTACTAGCAAATATTACCAAAAACATCGTTTTCCCCTGCATTACGTTATAATTAAATTGTTTTAAACATGATAATTCAATCACGGATTATGTAAACTCGCAGCGTAATAGCGGAAAGAAGAAGAGAGTTGTTGGGTCTGTGATCTGTGACGAACATTGGGAGAATTGATTTGTTTTAGTGAGCTTTTTTGAGTTTTCTTTTTATTATTATGGAAACACCAACATCCAAATTCGTGATTGATTGTGACGTAAATAAAGGCCTTAATTTAATTTTCGAAAAAGTTGGTTTTAGCAAAAGAAACTTGATGTAATTCGCTATTTAAAAACTGGATTCCTCCTGCTCCCTTGATGATTAATCAAACTTGCCTGACGTTACGCCAATCAATTTCGGTTAAGATCTGAAGAAGCCAACAGGATGAGCTTGTGGCAGTTTGTTTTTTTTTTGGTAAAAATTAAGCAGGGTATTTAAATTTATTAACAAAATTGAGATAAACCATTGGTGTACCACTTTTTATATTATATAATTCGATTAAAAGGGTCTCGCGAAAACTGCCGAGTTTGAAAGCGAATTGTAAAAGAGCTTTTTTAAAAACTAAACATTTTGCACTTACTTTTACATGAACTGTTTTACTTACTTTTATCTACCAAATGTTTGTTTCTTGATTGTAATTTGCACCCACCACGCTGTATATCAATTTACGCGAAAACTTTCCAATCTAGTAATAAGTAGTAATTGATTTAATGAATTCTTTATTGCATCAGATCTCTACAATAACTCTTTATTTTAGTAGCTATTACTCAACATTTTGCTAAACAGTTAAAGAAAGAATTCAAATATTTGTAAAAACCTTGTTGAAAACTTTAATGCATAACACAAACGGAAATATTAGCTCTACTTTACTGAATTTCGAGGAGCTCGACATCAAAAATGAGCGTCGCATTGGGTGGAATAATCCCTGGATGCCCCCTTGACCCGTAAGCGTAGTCCGGCGAGCAAATCAGTTTTGCTCTTTGGCCGATGCTCATCTGAAACGATGAAGTTGTAAATAAAATAATTACAACTTCAGAAGTTTAATGTGCAATCAAATAATCAGAAGACACCCGAATTGCATCATCTCTACCAAATTTTTTTAGGTAAATCAGAGCGCAAGGATTTGGCCTCATCACGCAAAAGTTCTGACAAAATAATGGGAAATTTATGACCAATTACCTGAGCAACACCTTCGTCCCATCCTTTAATCACTTCCCCCTTTCCAATATGAAATTTGAATGGGACCCCTCGGTCACGAGAAGAATCAAATTTGGTACCGTTTTCAAGGGTACCAGTGTAGTGAACCACTACAGTTTGACCCTTCTTGGGAAAGGTGGAACCTTAAAATTCAAAAAATTTGTTTGCCAAATAATATATATCTTTTATTATAATTTTAAATTCAATTTATTAGGTAAAATTAGAATGATTAGAATCCGCCATGTTTCGATACTAATTATCCCGTCCCAAATCACAGAAAATCTAAGGTAGACTGAAATTCACTTTGCGAAACGTTGAAATCGATGTTGAAAATGTTATTACCGATTTTTTATACAATTTAAAATGGCAGTTTATATAAAGCCGCATGTTTAAAATACAATTTGACACACGCACACACAGTACAATCAACACAAAGCTCTCAAAATCGATAATGAATAATTCGAAAAAACCAAAATAATGGAAATGGTCAATCATCCATGCATTTTATGAATAATTTTTATTGAACGAGCTTTCGTTTTAACAATAGTAAAAATATATCTTACCGTCCCCAGATGCAAGAGTTTGTACTTGTACTCCCATTTCAATTAAATACTGCAACAGAGTGAAGTTTAAATTATCATTACAACAAAAATTACGATAACTACTTACCTTAAATTACTATTTACAAAAATAAAGATAAGAAACAACGCCTTCCGATAAAATCGCTGCCCACACAAACCACAACCACAGCATAAATTGATATGTTCACAGAACAATCGAAGTGGATCGACCATCATGGCGTAGATTTTTTGATGAACCGAAACAAAAACTGAACATTGGTTAATTTTTGTGGATTGAATAAAGTAACGGAACGGATCGTTAAACTTTGTATTCTGTGATTATTTGTGAATATTTTGATAAATAAATAATAACAATTTGCATTATGCTCTTGCTGTGGAAATGTGCCAGCCCATCTTTTTATAATAAAATGTAATATTCAAATGTGATCTAAATATTCGGAATGCCGTACAAGTCACCGATATTTTGTTTGAAATGTGGTTCCACAGACTCCCCGCTGTGGACTAATGCTGAAAATTTGGGTGTAATTTGCTTGGACTGTGTCAACGAAGCAAAAGGAAACATAAGTGATGACATTAAAGAAGAGGACGACGAAGTGAAACCAGTAAAGAGGAAAACGAGAACCACAAGATCCTACAAAACAAGACTTAATCCAAACGCAGTACCCAAGCAGGCCGCACCCAAAGGTAAAGGCCGGAGGGGCCTTCAAAAGAAAACGCCCATAAAAGCACCCACTGCGGTGGCAACAACAGTGACAAGCCATTATGTCTTTTATAAAGTAATTGTTTTCATGTACTGTCGTCAGGGGTCACGCTCACATTTTTTAGGGGAGTTATTTACAAATTGGTGATGTAGTTGCTTTAAGGGACGAATCTGATGACATATATTATGCCCAAATTACCGGATTCATGACGGATCAATATTGTAACAAAAGTGCTGTGATTTCCTGGCTTCTTCCGACTGCCGAAAGCCCCCCTCCAAATGAGGAATTTGATCCCGCGACATACATAATAGGTATGACATTAATAAATTGAGGTTAGTATCTAATATAAAAAATAATTTATGCAGGTCCAGAGGAAGATATTCCTCGTAATTTAGAGTGCATGGAATTTGTCATGCACGCTCCGTCAGATTACTATAAGTCAAAAACTTCGCCATATCCTTCAGTAAGTCCGAGGGCAGAACCTGGATATATATGGACCTCTCTAGACCCTATTAAAATGTCTTAACAACTTTTTATTTAAAAAAAAATGATATATACACTTGTTTTAACTATCATAACCTATATTGTAATTGGTAAATAAAACTTTAAAACAGTTTTGTTGTTATTTGACCTATTTGGATTCAATTTTTCCATCTTCTTCTAAAACGGATTGCTAAAATGTAATATTTAAAGCAAAATTAAGTTTTTTAACAGAAAAAATCCCCACCATCCATTTCCAAAAATATTTCTCTTTATTTAACCATTCGCAATACGCTTTCAATATTGAGAGTGTCAAATTTGCTTTTTTGAGAAATTCATCCCTTGCTGCACAGTCCGTTAAAGCTAACAATTCAAATATTGTGAGACCCCCTGTAGCTTTCATATTATATGTTTTGTTTAACTAAAATTTAAAATTTTTAAAACAAAAATATCAAATAGAACGGGGTGAAATTACCTTTGTGTAAATTTTTGTTGCTTGAGAACTATACTCTTCATGCATATTTTTGTTAAAAGCAATTTTTCCAAGCAACCAGTTTTTATATTTGTTGTGTTCTTTGGGATCTTTTATGACCAAAGGCTTATTGTACTCATCAATATGGACTGGATTTGCTTGTTTAAAGTATGTTTCACAAAATACTGATGTATCAATCTCGTTTTGAATAAAGTTTTTTAAATTGGTTGCCAACAAAAAACCCAAGACAATTAGCAGTTCTCGACTTCCATAGTCCGCTTTATGAAAGGAATGGAAAAACTGTGAACGCTTATAACCCAAATTTTGTAAATGGAGTTTTATTGTATCTAAAGTGACATCACCATCCAAATTTAACAATTTTTGCAATGTAATCCACATAAGTAAACACTGAAAAAGAAGAAATAAACTTTAATCGTTTCAAACATATATTAACGCCAATTACTAGCTTACAACATTTTCTTCTTTAGTATTAAACTTTGCTAAACGGAAATATTCTGGTTTAATGTTAATTTTAAACAACGCATCTAGTAATTTGCATAGATGATTAATAACACTTTTTATATTCGTTACTGGCATTTTATTCACAAAGTTTTAAAATTAAAAATCTCAAACATATCAAGTTTTTAAGACACAGACCACAAACTTGTTCTTATTCTATAACGTGGCGCTTTTTGTAGCTATTTTGAATTTGAAAATTTATTAATATAAAAACATGAGTAGAAAAATAATTGAAGTGGAAATGTCAAAGGGCGTATGTGCCATTTTTTTTATATTATCATTTTGCCTTACAATTGTGAACAAATGCCTATCGTACCAATTGAGTAACCTGTATTTGCCTTATTTTTACGAACACTTAACTATCGTTAATTTAAATATTTTTTCTTGATTACCTCCAAAATGTAATTTTGTCACATCCCCCTTTGGCATTTTGGTCTCAATTAAGAAAACGAAAATGTTAAATTTATATTTTTTTTTAATAAACGGACATGCGCATTTGCACAATGTTTGGAAGTTAGGAAAATTTCAGGTTACGTATTTAGAAAAAATTTTATTTATCGAAGGGCAACAATAGGTATTTAAAGAAAATAGAAGAAGAAAAAATAAGGAAGAAAAGAGATTTAAACGGTTCCTTTAAATTGGCTGTAGTTTTATATTTTTGATATAAAAAAATAATCATGATGAAATTATTTCGTGCCGCATTGATACAAGCCCGCGTTGGCAAAAGTCGTTCTCAGAATCTGGAAAATGCTGAAATATTAATAAAAAAATCCAAACAATTAGGAGCAAAATTGGTTTGTTTGCCCGAATGTTTCAATTCACCTTACGGAACTGGGTTCTTTGAAGAATATGCGGAATCTATACCAAACGGTCCGACATGTGAAATGCTGTCTAGGAGTGCGAGAGAAAATCAAATATATTTGGTAGGTGGAACGTTACCAGAAGTAGAAGAAAAAAAATTCTATAATACTTGTACAGTGTGGAACCCAGAAGGTAAATTAATTGCAAAATACCGTAAAGTGCATTTATTCGATATCGATATATCTGGTGGCATTACATTCAAAGAGTCTGACGTTTTGCACGCTGGCAATAAACTTGAAATGTTCGAAATGGATGGAATCAAAATTGGAATTGGCATTTGCTATGATCTGAGATTTGAGGAATTAGCTAAATTGTACAGAATGGATGAGTGCAAAATCTTAATTTATCCTGGTGCTTTTAATATGGTCACTGGTCCCTTACACTTTGAACTATTGCAGAGGTCTAGAGCATTGGATAATCAAGTTTATGTTCTGGGAGTAAGCCCCGCTAGAGGCGATAAGGGCTATATTGCATGGGGCTATTCACAGGTAACAGATCCTTGGGGTAAAGTTGTTGCACAGGCAAAAGAGGGCGAAGAAATTATACACGCCGATATAGACTTAACCGAGTGTGATAAAGTGAGGGAGCAAATTCCTATATATAAACAACGTAGAACCGATCTTTATGATACTATTAAGAAATAATAACATAATCAGAGAATGCTCGTGTTTAGGTTAAAAAAACTGTACATTTGTTACTTTAATAATATATTTTTTTAGGTTATAAGTGGTGCAAAAGTTTTGATATATATAAATATTTTCTTTCTCTTCTTTGTTGAGTGACTAGTGGTAGAATGGGGCTATAGTCATGACTGCTATTCCATTTTCATGTAAAAATTTATATTGAGCCAGTTTCTTCATAATTTCTCTATTATCATAGTCACGGCTAATATCCATTACTTGAAGGAAAGTAACAAGTAAATGGACACTTCCAACTATTGCAAAAGTCAATAACAATGATTCCAGAGTGGTCAATGCCATATTTGTTGGTTCATTGCGGATAAAATATCTTCATTTTTGTCCAGAGCTTCAAGGCATTAGCATAATTCTCATAAAATTATGATTATAGAAAAAATCTTCAAGATTACAATTAATTTTTGACAGTTTGACACTTCACCAAGTGGGTATTAAATTCAATGCCATTAGGATTAGGCAAACGTTCGCAAATGTTCAAAAATGCAGTGAAACCAGCATACTGTGAAAAAGGGTGAAATAAAATAAAAATAAACAATAAATCAAGTTCAGGTGAGGACAACTATATATCACAAGCGAGGTAAGTAATAAGAATTTGAAGTATATTGGAAAGCTACTAGCTAACAGCTTTAAAAAGAGTATTACACGATGCTTTTTAGTGACGAATAGCAGAGCTATATATCTGCACCCTTACCAGAAGCTTAAACATTTAAATTTAAGAACTTATAAGCAAGGCTTAGAAACTAGTAATGTTGCTGTAAAACGATTTCATTGCATAATTATAATAAAGTTTAATTCAGTTAATTTAATGAACTATTTCCAACAGTCTGTTGCTGCACTCGATGAGAATCAAGAATTGACTGAATTGCAAGGCATAATTTACACAACTATGATCCTCGCTATGTCTTACTAAAATGTCTTTAATCCGTCTCTGCGTTCTATCTTAATTCAATGGATTTTTGTTGTGAAACACCACGGATTTTCAAGAGTCGGCTTTCTGGTAGAATTTGCATGGTGTCTACTGAACTTGTTTTTTTTTTCGCAATTTTTAACAAACTTATTGCGGTATAGATATATCGACAACTGGTAATCATACAAAACCTGTATCCTACTTCTGGGGAATTTTATTCATTTGAACAACTTTTATTGCGATCCCGCACGGAGAATCCCAAAGAATATAACCAACCTCCTAAACTTATACCATGAAAATCCCTAGTTGCCTGTCATCTGGCGTTACACTGTGGCACTAAACAAAGAGAATACAATATAGATTTAAACATACGCCCGTTAGATGGCGCTGTCAACAAAAATTACAATTAATACTACAACAAAACCTTTACCCATTCCATGCAGAAACTATCAAAACAAACCGGTTATAAACAGTAGATGAGTTTCTGACAGTTGTACTTTAACATTAATATTCAAAAGTATATCAATGTTTTTTATTAAACTCTAATTTCAGATTGTTAGAAAATTAAAAAAAGCGTTATTAAGGATTTGTCATAAAAATTTAATAATTTGTGGATAATACAACGCTGAGCCAGTTTAAAAAAATATGTTGTAAATGTGTCTCATATTTTTAATGGCAGGACAAAACCACGTGACTTTCTGGTCAATAAATAATCCAAGAAATTTTGTAGCGCAAACGTTTTTAAGGACTTTTACTCATTATTTCATTTTGGTATCTAATGTGATACAGCTGGTGCGAATTTGACATTGGAATAGGCTGCGAATGATGTTGGGAGTTCTACGGATGTTCCAGATATCTGAAAACTGTCCACATGCACGTTAAAAAGGGTTGGCCACGGACGGTGTGGTCGTTACGATTAGTTGTTTAGTGGACCTTCGATTGTCATTTTCTGTCTGTTTCGTAGGACCTGGTCCAGTTCAGAGGAGTTCCTATTTTATTTATTAGTATATATTTTATAAGCTCTTACCCTCTCAAATGTTTCTTTTTTATATAAAAAAAAATCCTCGCCACGCCCTGTTTCAGATTTAATTAACATAGGAAAAATTCTTTTTTCACTAAAATTAAATTTACGTCTAATGTTTTACATCAAAACATTTGATAAAGACACGGTATTGTCGAAACAATTTTCATGTAAAAAATATATAATTTCGTGAAAATCTGAACTTCTAGTCCTTATTTATTTTGTTAAATGGATTTTCGTCAAGTAAAAGCCACCTCAGTTCAATTCTTGGCAAAATAAATCGTAAAACTAAAAGCAGAAAAGTTTGCTGAACAGTTTGGCATTATCGATTTCAAGGCTTGGGATAAGTGGCGAAGAACGTGATGTCGACAGAAACGAAGAGGAGATACGGAAATGGCATGCAGAATTAAAGGGGAGGAAAATATTACTTTTCTTAGATAACTGCCCTCCACATTCACATATTCCAAATCTTGGAAAGGGGTGACAGAAGAAACACTTCAACATTCCTATCGTCATGCAGGATTTATTACCGAGACAGAATGCAAACAGGGCTTGGAAGATGATCAGCCACGAAGCGAGTGGATAAAGCAGTTTCAAACAAACAATTATGTTTACAAGTGAGAAGTTGCAAGCTTTAATGGTGATAGATCAGGATTTGCCTACAACAGCAGACTTGACAGAGGAAGCCATATTACAACAAGCAAGAAAGGGTGAGGAAGAGCAGCAAGAAGAAGAACAAGATGAAGAAGTTGATCTATTCAACAAGCCCTATATTCAGTTAAGCTGCTAGGGACTTTTTTTAGGTATCATGGGGAAGATGCCCCTCTCGAAGAAATGGTGAAATGTGAAGCACGAGATTTGTATTGACGTACTAAAAAAAATCAAAAGAAAATGACCCATTATTATAATGAAAAAAGAAGCAGTCCTATATAGAGTTTCGACTGTATATCTTCTATTCATATAGCCAAATTTGGTACGGACTTTGCCCATAGTTTATTAAAGAATTTTGTAAAACATTGTCATTATTTATATGGGCCAGAGTTTCTAATATACAACATTTATCTTCTGATTCACCTTAAAGGAGATGTTGATATAAGTATGGTACCTTGAACAATTTTTTAGCTTTTCTCTTTGAAAGTTTTTTAGGGCAATTAAAGTCACTGTTTAAATCATCCAATCCGTTAAATTCAGTTGATTTGTATATAGGTATTCTAGGAGATTTATCTAAACAATTTTGTTCTTGGGATGCCTACCAATTACAATTCAAATGTATTAAGCCTTCTTTTACCATATGTCTAAAATCTTTTTTTTTGGTTTTTTAGAAAAATGTTTTGTTTATATAGATGGAAAGTATGGATTTCAAAAAAAAATTATTAATTTATATAAAAATTTATATGTTCAATAAATTTTTCATTACATATTCGTCTTTTTTTGGATTCCATACTGCATTAATTAGAGCAGAGAACAGTATTAAAAACAGTTTTAATATGACGTTATTTTACGTTTCCTCATATACGTAAATGGGCTGTGACATTTTCACGTCATATATACGTCAACGGTGAGATCGGTTATCAATAATCGACGTCTTATTAACGTCACGTTGTCAGCTGGGTTGGTACACGATGTACGTAACATTGGCGACGGTCATTTTACTGGACTCGCAGGCTGCCCGGACCAACCGTACTCGAGAGTACAATGGCATTTGAACTACTAGTTTTGTAACAAACCCGAATGCTTTTAACGAAGTTAACAATAGTAGTGCCGGCTTGACTTTTACCCCAGAGTAAAATGGTACTTGAACTAGTAGTTTGGCGACAAACCCGAACGCTTTTAACTAAGTTAGCAATAGTAGTGCCGGCTTGACTTTTACTCCAGACTAAAATGGCACTTGAATTACTAGTTTTGTGAGAAACCCGAACGCTTTTAACGAAGTTAGCAATAGTAGTGCCGGCTTGACTTTTACTCCAGACTAAAATGGCACTTGAATTACTAGTTTTGTGAGAAACCCGAACGCTTTTAACGAAGTTAGCAATAGTAGTGCCGGCTTGACTTTTACCCCAGAGTAAAATGGTACTTGAAGTAGTAGTTTGGCGACAAACCCGAACGCTTTTAACTAAGTTAGCAATAGTAGTGCCGGCTTGACTTTTACTCCAGACTAAAATGGCACTTGAATTACTAGTTTTGTGAGAAACCCGAACGCTTTTAACGAAGTTAGCAATAGTAGTGCCGGCTTGACTTTGTTCACCCTGGCATATAATCCTTGGCTATCCGTATGGCGTCTTGGCTATTAGTTTTTAATTCTCGCTCCGCAATAATTAAGAAGCGTATTCTAATGGGACAAACCGAACCGGTTTTCGGAGTTAATCTTCAAACCCGGCAAAACGGCGATAGAAACGGCCGTTATAGGTCAGTGATACACCATATGTCGCGTCGGAAAGAAAAAGAACGAAAAAAACCACGGCGCTCTCCGAGACAGACGGAGAATGCGGAGTGCGTCAGCCTATCTCGCTCGCATTTTATTCAGATTTCGTGGAAGCGATCCGAGAGGCACGATTTAGTCGCGTTTTCAGTCGTTTTTTGTTCGCCGCTTCGTTCAGTACCGGTCGAGCGTTATTTTCGCTTAAATCGTCGCAGGAAACGAAGAAGAAGAAGAAAATGCCGGAGCAGATTGAAACCGTGAACGGAAACGGAACGCCAGACGTCGAACAGGAACTCGTGGTACCGCCGAAAAGCGTACCAACGGAACCCGGCGGCCTCCAAGAACCGCCGCCGCAGGAGTTGCAGGAAAACGGGAATCGCGTCGACGTTTCAGATACTTTTGTCTCGGCAGAGAAGATCGCGGAAGAAACGACAGGCGAAGAACCGCCGTCGCGGGAGTTGCAGGAAAATGGCAATTCCGTTGGGGTTTTAGGGACTTTTGTTTCGGACGAGAAGACGGCCAAAGAACCGCCGAAAGCGGCGACGCTGCAGGATTTGCAGGAAAACGGGAATTCCGTCGAAGTTTCAGGAACTTTTGTATCGGACGAGAAGACCGGCAAAGAACTGCCGAAAGCGGCGACGCTGCAGGATTTGCAGGAAAACGGGAATTCCGTCGAAGTTTCAGGAACTTTCGTATCGGACGAGAAGACAATAGAAGAAACGAGCGGCGAAGAACCGCCGAAGGCGGCGGCCTTGCAGGATTTACAGGAAAACGGGAATCCCGTCGAAGTTTCAGGTGTTTTTGTGTCGGAAGAGAAGAGCGCGGAAGAGCCGCCCTTGCCGCCCAAGATCGTGCGAGCGGAACCAGTCGGTTCGGAAACCAATCATACCGAAGTCCATCCGATAAAAAAGGTAAGAACAAAGCAGCTAGTTGTCTTTCAAATGTGACTAGCTAGCTGACTTCGCGCTAAAAGTAATGCAATGCGTAATTTTTAAAAAGAAAACGTATTATCTTTTGAGGTAGAGCGTTTTCAAAAATAAAACATGATAATGCCAAGCCTGAACTTAGTACTAGAAAAATTGGACATAATTTGAATATCTCGCACGTCGTGGTTTGGAAATTTTTGCACGGTTTTCTATTGTACCCATATCAAATTCAAGTGTTACTTCCCAGAGATTTTCCCTTCCGTGTCAATGGTTTTTGGACAAAATTACACATCATCTCTTGTTTGACCAAAAAATACTATTTATAGATGAAGCTAACGTTTCCAGAAATGCAATTAAAAAATTCCGTATAAAATAACCATATTTGGGTCCATGTAGTTGTAGAATTTAAATATCAATACCATTTTTCCGTAAACGTTTGAGCTAAATGGTGATAATATTAGTAGAAAAAGTACTATATTTACTTAGGTACAGAATATGTTTAAAGCTTGAGGGCGCGCCTGATCACTTTAGTGTCTCAATAACAGAGTATTTAAATCACACATTTAATAACCAATGGGTAGGTCGCGGCGGACCTCAACCATGGCCCCCTAGGTCCCCAGTTTTAAATAGTATGGACTTTTTCTTAGGGGGTGATCTTAAAAGTCTGGTTTATCGCACCCCAGCACTGTAGAAGAGGTGCCTGCGATTTAATGAGAAACACCAGAAGTATGCTTCAAAGAGTGCGTGGAAAACAGCCGAAGCGTGAAATCCTTCAAGATGGAGGGCACTCTCAACAATTTATTTAGTAAAAGTCAAAATAAATATGAACCAAAAGTTCAGATTTTCACGAAATTATATATTTTGACATGACAATTGTTTCGACAACGCCGTACCTTCGTCACATTTGATAAAGACACGGTGTTGTCGAAACAATTGTCATGTCAAAATAACTTTTAGTTCTTATTTATTTTATTAAATGGATTTTCATCAAGTAAAAGCCACCTCAGTTAGAATGAATCGTTTCTTTATCTTGTTGTTAGGATGTTATGTTATTTCATTAAAATTGTAAAAGGAAAAGAAATAGTCTTCTAATTTTTTTTCTAAAAAAGCTGAAGCGTGTATCCGTCAACTTATCGAGTTTCTAGGTTCTGTTTTTTTTTCAAAAAGGTTCAATTTTGTTAAAAATTATTAATAGTGGGTAGCGTTTTTAATAAGAATCTTTTATTGTTTATCTTATTGGAATGGTGTTATTTCATTAAAACGGTAAAAGTAAAAAGTGTAGCCTTCTATTATAAGTATACTAGTTGGTATTTAAAAACTAGGTATTTGGTTTTAGTTAGATATTTTATTTTTTTAGATTTAACCAGCGCAATGGCGACCTAATTAAACAAAATATTATTTGTTCATAGAGAGTCTGTGGCACGCCACTGATTTCTTTAAAAAAATGACATTTGCGTTTTTCCACATTTGATCTTTTAATTTTTTTTTAGTCGATCGCGCGGTTTTCACTTAAAGATAAGAACTAATTCATCTGCATGCATATTAACGATATGATCACGCAGAGGCGAGGTTTGTATTTTTTTTAAGCGAAGACAGAAGAAAAAAATCAAGAAATTATTATTTTTTGGCATTACGGATACTAAAAGTGTATATTTTATTTTTGAAAACCACTCTGTATGTCAAAAGCGAAGTTCATATGCAGTTTTCTTTTTAATTATTGACTTTCGACTAGAAAATATTTACTTTTTTCATACTTTTTAATGAATCTGGCCCACAGTGTGCCGCATACAATTGTGCAACACGTAATTAATAATTTTCGTAATTTCATGTACAAACTGACGGAATAAAATAATAATTTCGCTGATCTCGTAGAATAAAGATTATTATTATTAAACGTGCAAACACGACGAGGCTAAAAATAACAACTAATAATTAAGTCGTATAACTAGGGCAAATACTAAGTAATTAGAAATGACGTAAATTATATCGTGGAACAAACTCGGTTGAATCGGATGCCGTATTCGGCGCAGAATAATAATAATGTGCCTCGTGTCCCATGAGTGTTCCCGAAAGTTATCCCGATGACTCATCGTCGAAGCATTCCTATTAAAACTAACGACGTCCGTTTCGATTTTTACGCGTTTCAGACATTCTTTGTCAAACTCTGTCCACGAAAAGAACGACAAGCGCCTAATATAACCGGAAGTGTTCATTTAGGCGCGCGAAAACCGCGATTTTACCAAGTTAAAGAAATGCGAAACATTTAGCGTGGCGCCGTAGGTTCACAGCCAACTTGCTTTGAACCCATATTATCCCAAGCATAAAAAAATACTTTTTTGCTCTGGAAATATTTATTTTGTTGCACTTACGAATACATTACATGTGTCAAAAAAAAAATAAAAACTCGAAACATACAAAAAAATACTGGGAAAAAACATTAAATAATGTTTTGGGGCACATAAGATGTAACATATAACTTATACATAAATATACAAAAGAAAGTTCAAATTCGACAGAAAACAACTAAAAGTAGATTGTTTTCCAAATAGAACCTGATTTGATACAAAAAAACGCATAATATATTATGGTGCGCGAGCGCACCACTGGTAACACCCGGTTTCATTTTTGGTGATATTTTACAAAGCATGAAGTATGTAAATGCACATTACACTTATTGCAAACGTTAATTGTGTGGCTGTGGCAGCTTCTACATCTCCTTCGGCTTTATTAGCATGAACAATCATGAGGTGACCTTGAAAGTCTATTTTTTTGTTCCTCACATGATCTAATTTCATCGGATATTCAGGTTCAGTAGTTGATGAATTACAGGATTGTTGAAGGACAGCTGTATCATTCGGTGTATGTAACTCGAAACTTCCAACTATATCAGTTGGTTTCCCAAACTCTTGTAGATTTATGTTATCGTTCATATCTTCTTCGTCAGTCAAGGTATCAACGTCGGGTGGAATATAGACCGCGTCAATATGTTCTGTAAATATTTTTTCTCGTTATTTTTAGCATAAATTTACAAGGAAAGGAATGCTACAATACATAAGATACGTAAATCCAAATAATACTCACGACTTTCATTGTTATTGCCCTCATCCATCACGATCTCCTCCATAGCCGCCTCTAATTCCTTTTGAGTCAAATACCTCGGAAATGGCATATTTTACGAATTGTAATGTTCACTGCACAAGACACAAACTAATACTAAAGAACACGCTAATTGTTGGATGCTTATTCTACATGCGCAGAGTTGTCAATACTTGCAATAACGAAGTTTTGTTTCACAGATAAAACCAGTGGTGCATTCACGCACCAGTAAATATTTTCAAAAAATAAAGCATAATCAATATAGTATTTCCAATGTATGTTTTCTGCGATGTAATCTACATGCTAGACTTAACAAAAATGGCAATACAAATCTAAAATATTTTTTTTACCATTTTGGATTTACTTGAAAATGTGATACAAATTTATGTATCGCTTTTGTTAACTTTTGAAGTCATATACAAGATCTTTCCTTTACACATGAATTTGCGATTTCTACGGTTATGTGTCCTTTAGTAGTGATAATAATAAAATTTCTAAATGGATGTGCAAAAATATTTCCTGGACGCGACAAAAAAATTCATAGAATAGATGGTGCATTAACGCCCCATTGGGACAAAATCGGTAAAAACATCTTATATTGCAACGTCCACGTCAACGATACGTCAGAGCTGCCGCGATCAAAGCACTCTTCGATTTGGTTGTCATTGCGCACGCGGCTAGCGGCAATTTTGCGACATTGTCGCCAAGACTGAAGAGATTATCCCTCGAGCAAGTCAACACCTTATTATATTTGCATCCGACGATAATTTTTATCTTAATCTGCGGGCTGTAATGGCCGCTCTACGTCAGCGGGTTCTATCACGCGATAAAACCGAAAATAATGCGCTGCAATAAAATTGTCGAGTAATTAAACAAAGGCGGCTGTGGCAAGGTGACTCGGAACTTGACGAATTTTATCAGTCCGTAACAGGGTTACATAATAATTGAAAAATGTTTGACGTACGTGTCCGGTAGGGGGCGGTTCTGAGCTTGCCCTCCTGTATTTTTTCCTTGAGGGCACTTGGAGTCTATTATAGATTACAGGCGAGATGAACGAAAATTGAAAAGGATTAATAAAAATAAAATAAAAAATGCAAAAAAATATATCATTAAAATAAGGTAACAAATGAAGGCAACAATCCTTTAACTTACTGGAATATCATTAATGAAAAGAGAGTCTTACGTTAATACTCTTGATAACATTTATAAATAATAATCATTACCTATATTATTTAACGTAACATAAAAAGTTTAATTTCTTGATTATCTTTCAATCGGATGTACGGTATTGTCAATGTGATAGCATGCAGAGAGTTATTATCATTAAGTAATAGTCTATCTTTATAATGATTTCTTATCATAGTAGTAGGCTGTGTCTGTCTGTTGTCAGGCGATTGCTTGACAGTTGTTTGACATCAGTTTATAAATTCTTCGCGTGATTTAGTGTTTATAATATCCGAAAATTGCTATTTTAAAAAAAGATGGGAAAGAGGGTTTACTAATAAGAAGTTGGCAGTTTTGCATTTTATGTATAGTTTGGCTGATGGCCGGAAGCTAGGCCATTATATCAAGAGCGCTTTTACAGTAGACAGATACAAGGCGGCACAAACAGGTACTTTCAGGGTAAATAATAATTTAAAAAGGGCCTATCGGACTGTAAGAATTTCAGAAATTGAAGAAGCAGTTTTAAATTCTATTCTAGAAAAATTGGAAATAATCTGAATATCTCCCACGTCTTGGTTTGAAAAATTTTGCACGAATTTCTATTGTGCTCATTATCACTTGACGATTTCAGTAAATGTTTGGGATGGAATTGTTGGAGATTACTTAATTGTACTCTTGTGCCAGAAATGTTTAATGACCATAATTATCGCCGGCTTTTAGAAGAT